TCCATGGTAAATGGTCTTCCTAGTGACTGGGTGATAACCTGATCTGGGGTCGGATTTCAGTAGGACTGCAGAGATATTTGGTCGGATAGTCCCAAATCGTTCCGATCCTTTCAGGATCTGATGAGATTTCGACAAGATGTGTGTAAGCCGAATGAGGCATATAAACCTCGCGAAGAATTTCCACAGAAGAAATTTCACAGTATTACAACTATGCCGAGGTTTGTGGGGAGCCTACTTGGAGGAGCGGGCTCATTCCACGGCCTCCTGACACCGCTACAAGTGACCACGAGGATGCCAACTATGAGATTAGAGCAGACGCAGCCTCGAATCATCTCTACCTCCACTTCTTTAACCCAAACTATAATGGAGCTTTGTACAGCTCTACCCGTGTCGAGCGGTGATCACCTACTTTGAGAACGAAGTTCTCGAGTGATGACTCAGTTTTTGTGCGGCTACACGAGGGTAAGTAATGACTACAGCCGGCCTCAGCGAGAATGACTCCCAGACACGGGTGGAGCTGGCCAGGCTTCATGGGGAAAGAACAGGATCAAACCCGGAACCTCATGCGGATGCCGTCTGTACTCGCTACTTACACCGTGATGCCGAACAAAGGGCGATTCGTCTTTCCTGCAGAAGTATGTATGAGGTACATAGCTCAGACGCAATCGTAAGGAGTGATGAACGCGAAGGGAGAACTTTTTATCCGTCAAGTACAGCGTTCTGCTTGTGCATGGTTTACGCTACGCACCCGTTCGTCGTTCGTTCGTTCGCCTCCATGTTTGCCACGGAATTCTTTCATTGTACTAGGTGAAGAAAAATCTGAGCCAGCAGCACTCGGAGACTGCCACCACTTATGAGATATCCATCGCAAATACTTTCCAGATAACAAGGACTGTGGATATACCATGGAATGAATGCAGCCTAGACTTGGGGTCAATACACGGGGGTGCGTTCAGTTCGAGTTCAGGTCATTGAAGAAGGGAAATTGTAAAATGTTGGAAGACTGTTTTTCCAGACCACAGTACTTGTACAGTGCTCTGACGGCGCCGCCAACCAGGGGGAAGTGATATAAGACAATATATTACGTACATGGAATGGGGAAAACCGTGAAAAGTCAACAGTGGAAAAACTTTCTCGAGGCTCGGAAAACTTCTGTGAAAGCCACAGGCGACCCCACCCCCCAAAGCTAACAAGCCAAATACGACCCCGCCCCCTAATGAGATTCTTCCAGCGATGTTTCACCCTGCGTACAGAAGTATAGAAGGATCATCTCTCTGACTTCTTTTTTTTTCTTTTTCGAGTTTTGACAAAAGCTTTCTTTTCTTTCTTTGTGTAGGTCACAGGCCACAGACCAGCCTAACAAAACGCTGTGAAGTAAGACAGGTGTGCTAGGATGCTCGCCCTGCAACACTAATATATTGCCGCACATGACATCAAATACGGAGCAAAGCCACTATATGTGCAGTAGTTTGCCGCTGAGGTTCACTGACGGTCATGGTTTCGTTGATGCATGTTGCCCTGAAAACTGCGACACGGAGGCTTATTTGGGACACGACCAAGTGACAAAAGCGATCAATCTGATTTTTCGTGTGAATGTGCCGTTTGCGCAAACAAGGTGCAACGTATCTCTTACCATCATTGTCTTCAGTGTTAGAACCTAAGTTGCCAAAGATTGAGTTTCCTTACATTCGCTCATGGCTATGAGCAGTTTGGCGTAGCATTAGACAAGATGGCAATGGAAAGAGGCAACACTCGCAAGAAAGTAATCATGCTGGCAACACCACACTGCATACTACAAACACAGGTGAAGCTGGCGGGTGATGGGCAATTACCGTGAACATTGAAGCATTCCTTGCATTACCTCCTAAAACAAATACAAAACATCAAATCTAAAGATATAACAAGCACCGAACATATGGCTTTTGTTGGTCAGAACTCTGAGGATGGTTGATCAATTTTCTCTCGTTACTACTTCATCGAGACTGCTGTCATAAAAATCTGAAAGGATCAAACTGGAGTATGGTAAACGCCAACCGCGGTCCTTGCCATGTCAAGGCAAATGGGTACTCAATGCCTAAGACGTCCTGCTTTCGCCGCTCAAAAGTGCACGCAGATTTGCCTGGAAGATAATTGTGCCCG